GCCTGAAGTGGATGGGGCAGGTAGGGAGGCCGCCTCTCTTGAAGATAGGAGAAAGCTGGGGCTCAGCTTATTAACAGACAATTTAGGGCTCTCCCAGGACCCATGTCCTCACGTGAGCTGCTATCAACACTCACCATTCACTTTGGAAAGCAGCTCTAAGGTCACTCTGTGCTCCTTCAGTCTCAGCTACATGGAAGAGTTGAGAAACCCGAGCTTCAAATTCTCCCTATGTCCTAAGGAGGTCATGCTGGCACTGATGTGGAGAGGTAACATTGTCAGCCCTTCAAGGATGGGGATGGGGTGGGAAGGACCAGCTGGGGTGGAGCAGTTGAGAGCTTCTCCACATTCAGACAGGCTGTTATGTTTCAGGATGGCTTTCTGGAAGGGCTGGCAGCCCAGGTGGGTCATGGAAAGGAAACTAGGGGCTGAAGTCTGAAAATAGTAGGCACCAGGGAAGCCATGTGGCTGTTCCTATCTGCTGTTACTCTCTGCACAATGACTTCTACAGTAGAGCAGGCTGGGACAGTGTCAAGTGGGATTAGGGCTTCTGGGAGAGCAGGCCAGGCCAACAGGATAAACTGTCTTAATAAAAAAGCAAGGGAAATGGGCAGTTAGTTTCCAAGGTGTTTGAAAGGGTGCCTTGGCTGTACAGGCGTGTGGCATGTGCAGCTTTGCTTTTAGCTGGACCTGAAATTTTGGGTATCACCAGAGCCACCCACATGGCCACGTCTTTGTTTGAGCAGCTGGCTGAAACACTTGGAGAATCCTTGGCCTACAGCATCCCCACCTTCCAGGGCTGTCCCCAGCATTTACCCATGAAGGATGGCATTCTAGCTTCTGATGGAGTCACTATGAACACAGCAAAGTCATGTTACCACTCCAGTTCTCCTGGAAGTGAAATTCCTTCCTAGCCTCAGATTCAAAGAGTTCTGCACCCATCACTTGCCTTAATTTCCTCATAGCCCTCCTTGCCTCCATTAACGTGGATGGTTGGAAGTAAACCTGACTTAGCATTTATTGAGTATGGAATGGCAGCTATTACGTAGACTTGAAGCCTAACTTAGACTTGTGAGTGAAAAGTCAAGTTTCACAATGTTCTGGAAATTTCTACCATGATATCCAAAGTCACAAATTTGATTTCCTGAAGCCAATCTGTTAAGTGCTTCTGGAGTGTCGAGTTGAACTGGTAGCTTGGCTTTGGTAACAAACAATATACTTCTGGACGGCCACTTCTCACCCTGTTTAAAACTTCCTCTTCAAAAAACCGTGACTTTGATTTCTCACCCATCTTGGCTTCATGGCCTGGTGTAGTAAAAGTCCAACTTGCAGTCGACAAATGAAATACATGGTTTTTTTTTTTTTTTTTTTTTTTTTTTTTTTTTTTTTTTTTTTTTTTTTTTTTTTAGACAGACATGGAGTCAATCCAGAGGGGAGAGGTGTGATTTTTACAGTTGCTTTCCTGACCATCCATTTCACAGCAGAAGGGGCTGAGGCCACGTGGAGGGGTCCAGCCACACACCCTTAAGTGTTCAGTCTTGTGTGACTCATTATTGCAAAGAAAGGTGTTGGCCAAACGGTGCCCATTATGTAGGACCCGATCAGGGACTTGTTTGAAACTGTGCTCACTGACTCCCCACATGGAAGTGTTCTGTGGGCTTCGTGAGACTGCCAGGACTCCAGTGCTGACAACCCCGCCCCCCCTCACTTTGATGTCAGTAGTAAATGGCTATTCTAAGCAAGCATGTTCTCTGACTCTATCCTGTCATTCCTCATCATGGCTGTGAAGCAGGTCAGCTTGAACAAATACTGTATCTAGAAATTCCACAGCTTCTGCATTTAGCCCACTTTCCAAAGAAGCTTGCTCTTGCCTGTGCTGTTTTACTGCTGTCTGAACTGAAGAAGCCATGGATGGGTCTCGGGACCAGTCACCCAGTGAGCTTCTATTCTTTGTGGGACCTGATTTAGGCCTGATGAAGTCCCTGGAACAGAATATCCTGCCAAGGCATGTGACAGAAAGGTTCCTATTCCCAATGAAAGCAGCAGACATATGTCAGCCTGTGTTTTGGGCCAGGCACACTGTCACATATAATCTTAAAAAGAGCCACAGGTAGTACTATTATCCCTCTATTCTCGAGATGAGAAAACTCGAGGAATAACGGCAGTTTGAGATCACAGTCATGAGGCTGAGCCTGCAGCCCTAACTGCTTAGTTACCTGGTAGGCTTTTAGAGAGTATTAAAGAGTAACATAAACCCAACGCAAAAGAATATGCATGTGTTTTATGTACACACCAGTGCAGTGCCCATAGAGGCCAAAAGAGGGTGCTGGGTCATTTGGAGCTGGAGTTACAGGTTGTTGTGAGCCTCCCAATGAGGGGGCTGGGAATCTTGACTGCTGAGTCATCTCTTCAGCCCCTGAACATCTAACTTGGGGAGACACACACACACACACACACACACACACACACACACACCAAAACAAACAACCTCCAAACAATATATGTTATTGACAGGGCCTCAGAAGCACCCTATGTTCAGGAGGATCAGATGTCCAGATCTCCCAAGGCCTGACTGAGCTACATGAGACCTGTTCTCCCTGCACCACCAAAGGCCAAAAGAACCAATAAAATATATAATCTTTGGGGACTTTTCCAGTAATTAATCTTTGAGATGACTGATAATTTTACATGCAGTAGCAATTCATTTTCATCATCATGTAGTATTCTATCGTGGCAACATACTGTAATTTATAGTATTGTCAGTAAGTAGGGGTTATGTAAAACAGGGCTATGACAATGCTACTGAGAACACTGACCACACACACACACACACACACACACACACACCACATATACCCCCCACTCACATAGTCACACACACCCACACCCTCTCACTGACACTTTCTCTCATACACACACATGCACCCACTACACACCCCCCTCAGTCACACTCACAGTCACACACCCCTGACACACCCCATTCTCACACTCACATACATGCACGTATACACTCCTCCTTCTCTCCCTCTCTCTCTCTCTCTCTCTCTCTCTCTCTCTCTCTCTCTCTCTCTCACACACACACACACACACACACACACACACACACAACCCTAGGAATGAATTGCTGTTTTTTGTGACTGGGTTTGTAGTCACACATTTCCACCTGTGCTGCATGAACTGTTTCAAATACAGTGTGCTGCATCCAGAGAACAGCCCATGTAAAGAACTACTGTGATGCCAGACAAGTGGCACACTAACCCAGCGGGACTGGTGCCCTGATAAGCGGTGCCCTAGTGGAGCGTTGAGTGTACACCAAGGAAAAGCCAGCTGAGGACTCCTCAAGGGGTTGGCTGACAGGAGCCCTTGTAACTAAGAAAATACTCTGTCACCCTGGCCACCCTACCTGTGGTATTCTGCCACAGCAGCCTGAGCTGACGGATCCAGGGGACAGTGAGAAACCCTGAGTCACTCAATAAGCTCTCCCTGTGCAGGATGTCAGCCTGTCCAGTCGGGTACCTTGGCAACACCGGGGATTTGTCTTTGCAGCTCTTTCACTCTTCTGAAGCAACCATGAAGGTCAGGGTCTTGGTGAGACTTCGACCTCATCCTGCGCCACTCCCAACCCGTGAAAAACCTCAGGGATAAAGTGTTTCATGGGTGGCCTGTAAGAAATTATACATCCTTACAAAAAATAAGATCTAATTGGTAGCTTTTAATGCAAGGGGCTTAGAATAACTTTAAAAAGAGCGAACTGTGGCATTTTGGTGTAAGTGCTGAAGGACAGAACTGGGATGCTAGGCAAGTGACCTACCACTGAGCTATACCCCAGCTCTGCTGTCTCTTTTCATTCAAGTTCTCTGACAAGCAGCTATTCAAGTGTGCTCTCTGGTAGTTTTCAAACAACCCAACTGCTTTTCTTTTACTGACATCTCACTTTAGATGCAAAGCCTTCTAAGTGGTGCAAACTTGGAGCACTCTGATTTCCTCCACCAGATGGGCCACAACTCTCCAGATGATCACAACTGTTCATCTGCAGGAGACACAAGCACTCAGCAGCATCTGAATTCCTAGAAAAGACCACTTGGGGTGAATTATGGATAAAGCCAAACAGGCCTGAAATTTCGGAGTTCTTGTCATTCCCTTGTGGTGATATGGCCTAGGAGCCCCCTGGCAACTCTGCCTCAGCTTCCTTGGCTGTAATAGGAAGCTAGTCACCCCAAAAAGTGCTTCGACCTTGTGAGTATGGGTCAGTGTGTATGGGTGCGCCTGCAACACCGACGGGTTAGCTGTGGTCAGTGTGCATGGGTATGCCTGCAACACCAACGGGTTAGCTGTGGTCAGTGTGCATGGATGTATTCTGCTCACAGACTGATGCCTCCTCTCCTGGACTCTGTTCCATTAAGAGCATATTCTGTTCCTTCTACCCCCAATACAGTGACTCCCGTCATCGGACCCAGTGCGGAGTGACACGTCCTGGTGCCCAAACACTGCCTACTCCTTCCAAAGGACCCAAATGTTCAGTGACAAGATGGTCCGTCACTTGATGGAGTTGGTAGAATCAAGATCACCCTAGGAAACAGTCCCTCTGACGGCAAAAGGAAGCACCCAGCACCAGGGAACACACCTCAGCACAGTAATCTGGATGGGACATCAATATGGAGAAAGGTGTGCCAGGGTAAGGAACAACTACCATTCAGGGGAGATGGCGTCTCCTCTGTCGTCACAATACTCATGCGGCTGCCCACTCACACAGCCTCCTCTGTTTGGACCGAGCAGCTGTTCCGACATCCACATCTTTGCTGTGAGTCTTCAGGTCAGTGACCAGTTTGTCTCTTGGGCATCTGCATCAGCCTGGGGTGAGAAGTGATCTGCCATTGTGGGGGCTCCCCAGCCTCTCTTTCACACTGAGGTTTGATCCTCTCAGTGCACAATACCTGTTAGTATTCTGAGGAGCATTTCGAGTGTGACACACTGAGAACACAGCCTAGACCATCCAGCACTCATTGCTTCTTGGACTCTCTTTTTTAATATAAATAATCCTTAGTACAAATATTTATCAGGCTTCAGGGCACACAGTGGAGAGAATGGACGATTAATACCCTGGTAGGAATGGAAGGGACAGGGATGACCAGGTGTCCACACATTGTACCTGGGTATCTTAGAGGTTCAAAATAACTGCAACCTGGTATTTAAGGAAGGACATTCTTGCAAGGCGGGCTGCACTGATCACAATCCAACAAGACTGAAGTCTCAGTGTGTGAGAGCAAGATGTAACTGCTGGCCCTCCCACGCCATACAGAGCCCTTGTGTTACCTGCTGCCCTTTGGGTGTCAGTTTACTTTTTCCAACAAATCTAACCATTCTTTGTATGTGTGTGGAGGCCAGGGATGGACACTGGGGGGGGGGGGGTCTTCCTCACTGTCCACTTGAGACAGGGTCTCTCCCTGAACTGAAGTGCAGTCACTGGCTACACCATTGCTCAGTAAGCTCGGCATCTGCCTGTCTGCCCCTACCCCACCTCCACACTATCAGATCTGTACATGGGTACTAGATGCTATGTCCAGGGTCGTGTCCAGCTCTGATGTGGGTTGCTGGGGATGAACTCGGGTCCTTGTGTTTCTGCAATAGGTTCTTTACCGACAGAAGTAACACCATAGTCCCAGTTCAAATGATTCTTTATGTCTTCCATGTCTGATGAGAAACCAGAGTTCTGTTAACCAGAAGATGTCATGGGGAGTTTTAAGAAGGAAGGTTTTTCTATTCAGTATATTTTAAAATATAATAACATAAATAAACTCATACTGGTAAATCCAGTACTTGTGAAAGAAGGAGGCAGGAGGATTGAGGTGAGTTCAAATCCTGCGTGGGCTAGAGTGAGATTCTCACTCAAAGCAAAAGAAAATTAACAGGAGTTCATAATCACTTTAGCTTGTGTGTCCCTGTGACTCAGCATGATACTGTAGTCTGTGGGGCCAGCATCTCCTGTGGCTCGAAGCTCTTGGTCAAGTTTGTTCAGCCAGCATTTCAAAACTCAGAAGGCTGCTCTTCCTCATCTCAGTTTCTCGTGAGTCCTCTGCTTTTGGCTGTACAGGGTGCTGGCCCTCAGTGACCCTACTCATCCTTACTCGTTGTACTTGGCCAGTTTCAACCTGGGGATAATGTTCATGGACTGCAACTCCTGGAAGAGCAGCTTGCAGGCATATGGGATGCGGAGGGAGGACACATGGCACGATGACTTGCAGTAGTGGCACCTGAAACCCAAGGCAACACTGGTCAGAGGGGTGGCAACAAAGGCCTGCACACAGTACTGCTACGTTCCTCTCCCCAAGCTGTCTATCACTGTCAGACATGTACTGATGGCTCAGAAAGTTAAAAGGAACATCTGTGGACACAAAATCAAGAATGATACAAACCATTCCCTGCAGTTTAAAAGTATGCAACTTTAGTCCGTTAACTCTCTTCAAAAGGGAAAACATTTGCTTAACACTGTTTTGAAAGAACCCCAGAAACTGGAACCATCAGGAACTGAGTGAGATATCTCACCGTTGGAAGTTTTCAGCCGATGCCACCAGCCACATAGTGTTTGGGGGCATCTCTACCATTTGTTCATTGAAACACACTCACCAGAAAAAAATTCAGTTCCTACCACCGAGGCATGTAAGGTCTGATGGAAAAGAAGCCTTTTAAATAGGATAGCAGCAGTGGCCTCAGGACAGGTCTAACAGTCAGTATTTATAGTAAGCCGTCCCCTGCAAAAACCTGAGAAATGTATGTATGTACACACATGCAAATATTCCCACTTGACCGTTACAATAGCCTGTGTCCCAACCAAAAACTAGTGACACCATGACAGATTCTTTGCCCTCTTCTGGATTCAGCCCTCATCTATGACGATGGAAGGTCCCTTGGGGAGGACGTGAATTATCCACCCAGGTTTTGCAGTAGAAAATGACTCAGAAGAGTGTCTACAGTGAGGCTATGAACAAGACCACAGAGCTGGAGCCTCCTCAGAAGTCCACTGGGCGGCTGGTTCACATTCTAGGCCATTTATACAGAAGAGGTTATAGTCATGCAACATAATGGCACAGACTCAGTCACTGCAATGGGAGCTAACACCCAGGGTCTCAAACAATCAACAGTTTGAAAAAACTTCTGAAAATGCAATAGTAAAGCCAGGACTGGAGAGATGGCTAAATGGTTAAGAACACTGGTTGCTATTCCAGAGGACATGAGTTTGAGTGCCACAGAATCTGATGTCCTCTTCTGGGCTCCACAGGCATCAGGTGAACACATATGCAGGCAACAAATCCATACACATTAAAAGGAGAAAGAGAAAAAACCAGGGGCAGGTGAGATGGCTCAGTGGGTGCTTCACCTAGTCTAATGAGTTTGATCCCTTGGTCCCACATGATGAAAAGAGAACAAAGACCAGATAATTGTCTGCTGACCTCTATAAGGTCCTATGGCATCTGCATGTTAATACATATATACAAAAATTATGAATAAATGTAAAAAATGTGTATCTTTGGGTAGATATGGTGGTACATTCCTACAATCCTATAAGTTCAACACCCAGGATACAGAGGCAAGAGGATCGTTAAGTTCAAATCCAGCCTAGGCTGCATGAGGTCTTCTCTTCTTTTTGGATCCTTTTCTAGTATCAGAATCTTGAAAAGTTTATGAATTAAAAAGTAAGTAAAAATCAAAGAGTAAGAACAATCAGCCATGTTTCAAGAACACCATCACTCAATTATGGCCAGCAGTCATCTCTGGGAGGTGGGGATGTCTGTGCCTCCCACTTTTAACTTTGAGCAAGGGCTATTTGTACAACCAGCAAAATGCAGCTGCTTGCTTTCATGCACGAGTGTGTGTGTGTGTGTGTGTGTGTGTGTGTGTGTGTGTGTTGTATTTAATTCTACGTTTATTTGACGGTCTTGCTACAGAACCTTGGTGTGTCCTTAAACCTCCTATGAAGACCAGGCTGTGATTTCCTTGCCAACTACTGGTGCTGAGTAAGTGTGAGACATCACAGACTTTCTCCTTTTAAATTTTAGAAAAGCAGAGCCAGTACCCAGGATGAGAATTTACATGGTGACAATGACCTGAGGGACAGAACTCCCTGGGGGTGTTGGGTGGGGATGCATCATTACTGATGTTGACAGCAGAGACACATTAATGATGAAAACTTCAGCGATATAAAATTTCTTAAAAGACTGCCCAAAGATTTCTCTAAAGCATTAGAATCAAGCATGTTTTTAATGTGCCTGGTGGTTTTAAATTATTCAGGAATCACTCTCATACCACTTTAATTAAATTGAGGAAACAGACTGAACTGGAGTAACTTCTTCCTGTTTTTCCTGTCCTATATATTATGACTCCAATTTCAGTTAATCAAGTTAAAATTTCCATATTGTTGATTCATAGTATGTATAACCAATTAATCTTAATATATTCATTCAAAATATCCCAATGTCGTGTGTGTGTGTGTGTGTGTGTGTGTGTGTGTGTGTGTGTGTGTGCGCACACATATATATACATAAGCTAATTTACTCTATGGCTGAATAACTTGCACAGGTAGATACCTGACCAAGAACAATAAGGTAAACTGATCCCTAGGATTAAGGCAGCAAGAGGAAGCTGTGGCTGCACATGAGGAGCATTCGAAGTGTAGCATCTTTCATGAGCTAATTACCTTAATGGGGCTCTTTGGTGACTTCTGTCCTGGGTCCTCTGAGAAACAAGAGTCTTGCTGTAAACCTCCCCATAGCAATGCTTTACCAATGTGCAAGTCGCCCACGGGGTCCTACTCCAAGATACTGAACCCCTCTAATTACTCAGCTTCCATTGTGTGGCTTATTAAAGGGCAAGTTCCTCCAACTAGCTGTGGTTGCTGCCTCTCATGATAGAAAAATGACAACATCATTATGCTGCTCAGCCAGAGAGACGCACATGAAGAGGCAGCCAGACTACAGAATATGTTAGGATTTTTTCCTGTTGGCAACAGAGTATAAGCAGGGGCACTCAAAGCAGACATATGGTGTCTTAAGGTCTATGTAGCTCCAGATAAACATCGAAAAACCACATAACCTGATCAGGTCCTTTCAAAGGATAGCACACTGACCCCTTGATCAGGGCTGCAATCAGGCAAGTTAGACACTAGATGGAAACAAGGCGGCAAAGGAGGCAGAGGTTTAACTGAGATAGTGTGTCCAGCCTTGTGTCAGGTGTCCCGAAGCACCGAGCAGGGAGACAAAGGCTTAGGCCTTGGGAACCTGCTTTACTGTTTCCTTTTTCTTTCAGAGGAGGAAAGAAACACAAGAAAGAAGAAATGAGAACTCTTGTGCCAGACTGGAAGGTTTAAGTATGGGGAACTAGGCCCCAGGCCGCATCCTATTATGCTATAGCTCTGTCTCTCTCCTGTAGTTATATATAGCCCACACATGCTCCACATGCATTTCAATACACAAATGGACATCCCAGGACTGAACAAACCCCACCTCACTGACAGAAGAAGGGCTAGGCTTATTCTCATAAGAACAGCACCATCTCTGTAACTCAGGTAAAGAATGAACTAAAAGTGGCCACCTCTTCCATTAGTGTCCAAATTAGCGATTTCTTCATAAACAGAATTCATCGATTCATCTAGACCCCAATTATAAAATAACCTGCTAAAATGTTTGTCACAGAGATAGCAAGTATATACTATGCTCTAAGAAGCCATCCACCCATGATTCCATCCATGTATATGACTGTGTGTGCCTGTATATGTCTGCAGGCATGTGCATGCCACAGTGCACATCTGGAGGTCAGAGGCCACTTGGTGAGATTCCATTCTTTCCTTTTCCCACATGGCCCTGGGGATGGAACACGCCATCAGGCTGGTGCACACCTTTACTTTTTTTTTTTTTTTTTTTTTTTTTTTTTTTTTTTTTTTTGGTTTTTCTAGACAAGGTTTCTCTGCATAGCCAACTCACTTTGTAGACCAGGCTGGCCTCAAACTCACAGAGATCCACCTGCCTCTGCCTCCCGAGTGCTGGGATTAAAGGTGTGAGCCACCACTGCTCGGATGCACCTTTACTTTCTAAGCATCTTGCAGGCCTATCTTCTGCTGAGTCCTGACCTGCTTGACCTAACCAAGAAGTGGCAGCTGATTCAGGCAGCAGGGTGAGGCTGTGTGGAGAGAGGCTTTGAGGAAAGCTGATGAGGGAAAAGCAATGACTGCTCATCTAGCTTCACACTGTTCTCTCAGGTGGGTTCCCATTTGAGAAAGGGACTCTGAGTAGGGTGGATGAAGGGGGCAGGGTATCATGGCTATTTCCATCCATGGAATGTCTATCTTAGACACTGTGAGACCTTGCCTCTGATAGATCAGAGGGACCACAGGCTCTGTCAGCTACATGGGTACTACAGGGCTTCAGATCCTGATACCCCCTAAGCAGATCTTTTTGTTCTCCAGTAGCAGTGGAGTGATCATAAGCAAAAAAAAGTTCTACAACTACACAACACCAACAGTCCAGGGAGCACCACCCACTAAGATGGCCTTTAGACACCAGACTGTACATGGAAATTAAAAACTTTATAAATTACATAATGAACTTATTGGCAATTCTACATTTTTCATTAAGCACCTACTAGGTGCAAACTGGAGAGTGCATCAATGAGACACAATAAAGGAACAGCCAGTATGTCTCCTGCACTACATTACTTCTATACCCAGAACTGCATCTGATACAGCAGACACGCAATGCATGTTGGGTGAATAACTGAGACGAGATGCTATCTGTACATCATAGAACGTACAGTCAAGTGTACTTGCCATAGGTAAGGGGCACAGTACACACAACAGATCTTTGTCCTAGTTTTGTAACTGTAAGATGTGGGGCAATTTTGCTTTTGGGGTCCAAGATTACCAATAACAGATCTTGATACAACTTCCCCTAAGGAGTTTTTGATTTTTTTTTTTTTTTAAGTTGTAATTCTTGTTATAGATGTTGGTAAGCTACCATGTGAGTGCTGGGGGAACTGAACCCAGGTCCTGGAGCAATGATTACTGAGCCATCTACAGTCTGTTCTACTTAGGAGCTTAAATTATAGCAGTATAAATACAGCATTAAATACAACATACAAACACCTACCCAAGGGATGTATGGACAAGTGTTGGCACACATGTGATCACAGGCAAAGGCTGCAGAGTATGTGGGTCTGGTTGAGGACAGTTCTTGGGCCATTATTCTAGACCAAGGGATGTGGACTAAGAGATGCAGTATCTATCCACTTACCAGCCAGAATATCCCAGGAGTCCACACTGCCCACAGACATCAACTTCAAAGGCATCACTTGAGATCATTAGTCTCTCCAGCAAAAGCATGCTTGCTCCATAGCCGATTAAACAGTCGCGTTCCATTTCTCCAAGACGCAAGCCGCCATCACGAGATCGTCCTTCAGTGGGCTGCCTTTGTAGTAAAGGAGCAGACATGCATTAGACATGGAAAAGAGCTGTAGCGCCTCAGCTGACCAAAGCAAGACTTTGGAGCAGGCGCTCCCACAGCAGAACCACACCAGACAGTGACCTGGATTGCTCGTTTCTCCCAAGAGCTTCAAAAGAGCAAACTAGTGGCTATCATTATCAGACAGTATACCAATGTATTGTTTATTAACACCCTCAATACTAGTGTTAGCAGTCATTACTCTCACATCTCAGTCATTGCTATTAGGCTGTATAGCCTTCAAATCAGAGAGCAATGCCTGAGTATTTTCAGAGACATCTCAGTTCTCAGACGATGGAAGGAACTGGGTCTCCAGCAGCTCCAGCAAAGGCTCTGTGCTGCTTACTTTTTGTCAACCTGCTGAGAACCTAGACCCACTTGGGGAATATGGACTGTCAAATGAAGAGCTGCCTCCACCAGATGGGCCTGTGGGAATGTCTATGGACCACTTGTTTTTTTTTTTTTTTTTTGGTTTTTGGATTTTGGAGACAGGGATTCTCTGTGTAGCTTTGGAGCCTATCCTGGCACTCGCTCTGGAGACCAGGCTGGCCTCGAACTAACAGAGATCCGCTTGCCTCTGCCTCCCGAGTGCTGGGATTAAAAGTATGTGCCACCAACACCCGGCCTCTGTGGACCACTTGTATTTTACTGCTGACCGAGGTGGGAGAGCCCAGCCTGCTGTAGACAGAGCCATCCTGAGCCGGTGGGCCTGGACTGTATAAGGAAGGTAGCTGAGCACCCAGCGGAAGCAAGCCAGGAAGCAGCAATTCTCTGTGACCTGTGCCGTTCCTGCCTGGGCTCCCCTGGGCATCATGGCAAACACGGTGCCTCCCAACATACATGGAAATGTTCATATTGCTTTTGTTATAGCTCGATATTATTGGGAGAAATCAAATGAAGAGTAGAGTACCTGAAGAAAAAGCTACAAATAAAAAGGTAACTAAAAGGTCTGAAGGGCACTCTGTAGAGGAAACGTCACCATGAGCACAACCTTGGCATTTTTATCTGCTGGTAGACACACCACCACATACACTCCCTCCCCTGAGAATGTTAGTGAAGGTGGTTATCTACATGTGGGCAGACTCCATGCTTGTATTTCATCTGCCGAGATAACTGACTCAGAAGGAGACAACACTTGGCCCATAGGGTCTCACTGCTTAGGCAATAACTACCTTGAGAATCTTAGCTTTTCTTCCCTTTTTGTCTTCAAAAACATTTTAAAAAGATTATTCTATTTTATGTATGAGTGTTTTGCCTGCATGTATGTGTACCACATGTGTGCCTGGTACCTTCGGGGATCAAAAAAGGCATGGAATCCCCTGGAACTAGAGTTATGGATGGTTGTGAACTACCATGTGAAGGCTGGGAATTGAACCCAGGTCCTTTGTAAGAGTAACGAGTGCTCTTAACCAGACCCTTTTCAAGCATTCTGAAGCACATACACACATACACACCTATGACTTCAACAGGTACTGTTGAAGTTTACAAAAGCAAACAGTGGCACCCCGTTTTCCTCCCCTATACAGCTAACATACTCAGTAAAAATAAGGGAACCAGAGATTCAGACATCTGTCACGTGGCTGGCATTTGGCCCATATTCACTAGCACTCTGTGAGGTAGGTGCAATCATCTGTGACAAGGACTTACAGGAGAGACACGATCTGGAGGCACCTTACTCATGGAGCTACCTCACCAGCCTGTGAAGCAACTTTATTTTCCCCAATATCTTTTCTCTGCATTGTGAACCTATGAAAACACATCTACAGATACAGAAGGCTGACAGCAGTTCTAAGCCCCTTTCCACTGAATTCCCCCTTTTCCAGAATACAACACTGTTCTCCACAACACTGACAATACGCTCTGAGCTGATAGGACTGTGGCTATGCTGATCCTTCCCTCTTGGAATAAGAAAGCATTTACCTTATTTTCAGGTTTTACAGGAGCTTACAGCTGGGAACTTTGGAATTTTAGAGAAATTCTGAATTATTAAAGACCATGGAACTTTTAAAAGTTGGGATGTTTAATATTGTGATAGTGATATTAATATGACATCCTGGAGACAAATGAGAAACAAAACATTATAGTTGTGTTGAGTTCACAAGGGATCAATTTTCTGGCTAGTTTTGTTTCCAGCATGACATATGCTAGAGTCCTCTGAGAGGAACGAACCTCAGTCAAGAAGATGCCTCCTTAAGACTGGCCTGTAGACAAGCTTACTGGACATTTTCTTGATTAACGAGTGATCATTGTGGGTGGTGACATTCCTAGGTAGGTGGCCCTGGATTCTGTAAGAAAGCAGGCTGAGCAAGCCATGAGGTACAAGACAGTAAGCAGCTCTATGGTTTCCGCTTCAGTTCCTGCCCTGAATTCATGTCCTGGCTTCTTTCTGTGATGGAGTCTTAGCTAAGAGTCATAAGAATTGCTTTTGGTCATGGTGTTTCTATCAATAGGAAGTACTAAAACAGTGTCTAACACACCCACATTTAGATATCTTAAGGAAACAAAACCTTTTCCGAGACTATTTATCTCCACAGACAAGTATATAATGCTTTGACAGCAGCATCAGCTTTTGTCCCCCAAGGGCATCTCTTACCTGGTAAGAACAGCTCGTGGTCCTCGGGCCCGGGCATGCATTTTATCCAGTACCATGTGTTTCAGTTTCTGATAGTACACAGGTCCAAAATAGATGTATGCTTCTAAGGGCTCACTGAAAGTAAAGTCGGCATTGTTGGGTTTAACAAACAGAGTTTGGATAACTCAACAGACAGCCTTCTCAGGTCTCAGCAGCAGCAGGTCCTTAATGTTTTCTCAGAGACTTATGACAACGGTATGAGGACAATCTCCAGTCTATAGTGAATGAAAAGGCTAGACCAAAACCATAGAAGCACTACCACTATATGAGCAGATAGTGTTCTCACAAGAAATAAGCTAGAAACAGGATGACCCTCTTCACTGCCACCTGTTTCATCAGGACAACATTTTTTTCTTGGTGTTCTGGCTGATCTTGCTTCTACTCTCATCACTAGACAACTGGTCTACCATAACAATCCAGGGAGATTCCTCCTAAACTGGAAACCTTAACAGGTCATTCTGCTCTAAAGTCCCCAGTGTTTTTTTCTGATATTCCATGTGGCTGTCATGTCAAATACCCTGGAGCCTCTGCCTCAAGACTGCTGCCAGGTACATGCACAGGCCTGTCAACAGTGCATTCCTTAGATTAATTTTCTTTTTGTCTTGAGAAAAGGTCTTACCACATTCCTTAAGCGGGCCTGGAACTTGCTACATGGCCTAGGTTGGTGTCAAACTCGAAATCTTTAGGCCTAACCCTCCTATGTGCTAGGATTATAGGTGTGAACCTTCTTAAAGGAGTCCTCCTCCCTTACTCTCCACCACCACTTCCCTCACTTGACCCTACAGGGTACTCAGCACCTTTGTGTAGTAATCACTACTTGTCTGTTTATTGACTGTCTTCCCATAAGAAGTCAGTTCTTTGTCTCCTTTGCCAAAGTGGCTCCAGTATCTGATCCTGCCTAGCATACATTTAGTATGCTCAATAAATGTTTGCTACATAACTTAGTTCACTAATGAATAACTATAGTAAGAATCTCAAAGTAAGTGAGATAGATACAAAATAAGTGTTCTGATAGAAAAAAAAAAGAAAAAAAAAAGAAAAAAAAGAAAGGTCTTGTCTGAGGCAAATAGCCAGGGAATGGATGCCTTCAAAAATCTTTTAACTTCCTCATAGGGAAGGAAGTATTCTCCAGTGCTGTTTAATCATCAACATGCCAGGCACTGTGTCTCTATTGTTGAAGATGTAGAAACAGGCCCAGTGAGCCTACTCAGCTAGGTAAGAACTAGAGAATGGTATGACCAGTATCAAACCTGGTGCAATCTTTGCCTGTCACACCGGCCTATCTGAAAGACAAGTTCACTTTGAGCAAAACATGTTGTCAAGTAGGAAGAGCAAAGGAAACCACCAAGTACAGAAAAGCAGCTGCAGACTTTGGCCCAGATTACCTGGTCCAATTCCAATGTGCCAGTATACAAGCAATGGCTACTGTAGTTACTGAGCCACCACAGGAATTTCAGCACAAAGGGACTCAGGAAGTCACGGTGGAGAGGAAGGCACAGGAGCAAGGGCCGTGAGATGACACTGCATGACCTTTTCAATTCCGTTTTCTTGTATCAAGGTAGCCAGCCAAGGGTATTTCCAGCTCTAATAGGTTCTTGACTGTAGGTTCTTGGGATGATAACGCAGGGTAGAATTTATGGACCTCTGTCACCCAGTGCTATCCACCATCAACTGTAGAGCTAAGATCAGGACCATGGGTGACAGCAGGGAGGGATGCATCTGCATGTCAGAGGATGGACATCTGAACAGGCTCAACAGTGCTTCTCAAGCTTTGGCATGGAGGTGAATGGCACAGAAATGAAATCTCCATGTGGGTGCCAAGGGAAGCAGTGCAGACTATAGCTGGCCACAGTATACAGGGTGCATCTTACTCTAATCTTTGATTTTTTTATATTTAGGAAGCTGTGCTGAGTGGGTCCTATGGTTTTGCACAATCTCTGGACAATATTATTTCTGAGTAGAAATGAAGGCAATAGGCAATGACTGTTTTTTTTTTTTTTTTTTTTAATGGATCCCTAATTATTTAACTAAACCATACTTGAGATTTTTTTTTTTTAACACCTTGAAATGGTTTACCTAAAGAAATCTGTATTGTTACCATCCGGACAAGTCATTTAAAAAGCACACTCTGTATTTTCAGCAGAAATGGAGGTGAGGCATTTTCTTCACTTGTGGAGAATTCTGTGAAGCATTGCAGTAAAGCAGCATGCCCTCACCCATGCTTCAGCTGAGCTGCACCTGTGTTCAAGTGGCTGACAAGGCCAAGGGCAGACCCAGAGGTCTTAGTATATTCATGCACAGTGTGTACCTGCATGAGCACATGTGTGCTGCTTTAGAAGCCCTTGGAGGCCTGAAGGTGTTGGATCCCAAACTTGGGTCCTGTGGAGCAGCAGTTAGTGTTTTTAACTGCTGAGCTATCTCTCCAGCCCCTGGTCCAGGGTTTTAACTGCCACAGGGTATGGAAGCAGCTGATTTGATCATGCATACAGTGTGATCTGAGTTTCAAAACCTCACCATTCACAACTGCATGGACTTATGTCTGTTAAAGACGACAGGCAGACCTTCAGTCTGTCTTGCTCAGTCTCACCTCAGCAGCACAGCTGCCTCCTTATGGACTACCAGCCGGGTTGGCACCTACCAGTTTTTGGGATTTACTCAGTAAGTGTGCTTTCCTTGTACCATACTCTGTAAATGGCAGTTTCTGCCCCTCCATGTCTTACCCGCCCCTCTCACCTTTCCCTCATCTTTATGTCGGCTAGAAATACTAGCTCTTTTTAGCATTTCTCTACCCAGCAGGCATTGCTGGAGCACCTATGCTGTCAGACCCCGTGCTAGGCTCCAGAGACAAAGTAGTAGACCCAGCACAGAAGCCTGATTTCATGGAGGCTGTGTCCTAGCTGGGTGACGGACAACAGTATCATGGAGCATGTCTGGTAGTAATGACTGCCATGGTGTCCCAACATGTCTGGTAGTGATGACTGGAGAACAGTTGGCAGGAGATGGCAGTACTAGGTTGTGGCTTTAATTGGTAATCAGTGGGCAGATGGTGAGACCCAGGCATGAAGTACTTGCTAGGCATGCATGAGGCTCAGGATTCATTCCTCAGCACCACAGAACAAAAACAAAAACCTCAAAGCCAAACCAAACTAGACAATCTGCTTAAACAACCAAGCAGCCTGCCTCCATCAGGCAGTCATTGAGGCCTGCTGAGAAATCTTCTTGTGTTTGCTACTATTCCACATCTAATAACAGACCCAAGTGGTTGACTTTGTGGTTTAATTTGCTTCAATCCCTTCAAAGCCTGGCACACAGTAGGTGTTTAACACACCCGTACTGGAGTGAGTACTGGCCCCAGGCTATGAGACAAAGCACTCAGTCTCTGGTGCTTAGCCAAAGGAAACCGAGCAGTTGAGGAAACACCCACATCATCTGTAGTCACTGCATTCCACAGAAGCAACACAGAAGAAACCCTGCCTTGTTAAATCTAGCGACAGTCTTACCAACACAATGTCTTCCACAATGACTGACCCAGCCTCCCTCCCTTCCTCTCTCCCTCCCTCCCTCCCTCCCTTCTAGTTTTTTTGAGACAGGGTCTCTCTGTGTAGCCCTGGCTGTACTGAACTTGTTCTGAGGACCAGGCTGGCTTCAAACTCAGAGATTCGTCTGCCTCTCCTCCCAAGTGTTGGGTTTAAGGTGTGCACCACCATGCCCAACGCAATGACCATTCTTAAATATGGCTTTTCTCATTTCAGGTTTGTTAAAACAGTGAACCTTCCTTCCTTCTGACTAAGGAAGTCTCAGAATGTCATACCTTGAAGAACAACTTTCTTACCTGGACCTCTTTTCTTTCCAGTATTCACCAGCACACTCACCCTGTGATGCCCGAAGTGACATAGTCCTTCCCCAGGTAGTTATAACCATGGCGAACGAGGTCTTCACACACATCCTTTACTTTACTCCCTCCAAAGGCCGTGCCATAGTGGAACTTGCCGTCTAACACACCTGCCTTGCCGGCCAGCAACTCAATTAACTTTCCGACCTATGGAATGAGATGGGAACAGACTGGTGAATGCCCCTGTGGCATGGGGTTCTCCTAACCCACTTACCTTTAGCTTACAGCTAGCTTCAACCCCTGCAGTTCCCAAGAGTGATACATTACTAGCATTAACTGGTACCTTGCTGAGGGACCCTGGCCTAGGTGACTAACGTCCCTTAGTGTGTTCCCTAGTTTTCAGATAAGGAAACTCAAGTACAGAGCTAAGCATGTGGCAAGGCCACATGACCTGTGACAGACTCACAGACTACAGAAGTGACTGCTCAAAGAGACATCCGAGCATGCTTAGCACACAGGGTTCTTCTGTAGGACCACAGATGAGAGTGTGCAGCCAGCACAGGGAGTCCATTTATCTGTTGGGGGACTGTCACTACAACTAACTTAACTGCCTGCTTCCTTCCTTCAGAGAAGCACCTCCGAAAAGCCCACAGGTAACTGACCGTCATTCTTGATGGGAAGCCATGTGGGTTCATTATGATGTCGGGACAGATTCCAGAATCACAGAATGGCATGTCTTCTTGAGGGACGATCAGGCCACAAACACCTGGGGACAGGAGATTTTACAGCACTTCAGGCAAATGGGCAAGAGGGGAGAATACAGTACTTAATTGGGATCTTCCCGCTGCTGTGTCCATTCCCACTGTTCTAAAACCCTCCCCACTGTCTCCATCAAGAGTAACAAAACAATTTCCAACAACCCTGGTAGCCAGGCAGTCCAGAGACGACTTTCCTTGCAGAAAAGCCATGGTAGCCTGTGGACTGGCCTGCTGGCAAGACACACAATGGTACTCTCAGGCTGCCTGCCCCTATCCCGGAAGCTTTGCAATCAGCAGTTTCTGCTCCTTGTCAGCTAGGCTATGATCTGCTGGGTTCTACACCCAAACCACAGGAATCCAAATTCTCTGACCACCAAACAAAGAATGACTGAATAAGACTGAATATGCAGATCATGGCTTTAAAAACCTGTGACAAGAAATCCTTGTGCTGGGGCTAGAGAAATGGCTGGGAGGTTAAGAGCACTGGTTGCTCTTCCCAGCATCTGTATGGCAGCTCGCAACTGTCAGCAACTCCAGTTCCAGGGGATCTGACACTTACACATGCAGGCAAAACACCAAATGCATATAAAATAAAAATAAATCATTGAAAAGAAAATGCTAACAGTTGCCCTGCTGGCTGCAGAGATGGCTAGTTGGCCCACCTTGCCAGGCCTTTCCTGGCTGAGCTTAACCTGCCTTAAGGAATTTTAATTCCTATAGCTTACAGCACATTAGAAAAGTGATCTTTGATTGAACTTGTAAAGACCAACAAGAAATGTAAGAGCCAAATCACTCCTAGAGCAAAAGGCTAGACTAAGACATGGAATTCAAAGAATGAAGGCGAGCACAGAGCCTACCAGCTCTGTACTCCACCTACGTTTCTCCAGGTAGCAGCCCTGAGCGTTCCTTAACAGGTTCTGTGCTTTGAGACACTTTGCTGTTAAACAGTTCTCAATCCTTTTGATTTGTTTTTCTTGGGAAGATGAATAGGGACAGAATTTAGGGGCTCAATCACACTCCATATAAGAACTAGAAGACTTGGGGGCTAGAGAGATTGGCTCAGTTGTTAAGAGCACTGGCTGCCCTTTCAGAGGACCTGTGTTCAATTCCCAGCACCCGTATGGCAGCTCACACTTGTCTGGACACAGACATACATGGAGACAAAATACCAGTGAACATAAAATAAAGTTTAAAAAATTCAAAAAAGGAAAAGAAAAAAAGAACTGGAAAACATGTATCCAACAGCACAGAATAAGGAAACAGACGCTCTTACTGTAGTAATAAGATACACCTCCTTTCTCTGATGTGTGAACTTAGCAATTTCAGGTCTACTGAAAAAAACTAAAATTTTCATTCCTGTTTTTACCCTACATAATTCAGGTCACATTTAAAAAAACTTATTATTATTGCACTGTTGAAGCTAAAACCTAAGACATGATAAACAAGAACCAAGTTGCAGCACCAGAACCCCAAACTACTTTAAAAGAAAACCTTTTATGACTCGTTTATTATGAAGGACAGTACAGATCTAGCCTGGTGTTGACTCTGCTTCCCAGTGGCTGTAGGAGACTGCACTTTCATCTGAGGAGCCAGATTCTGAGCAGACAGCTCCTTTTGTAGCTGTTTTGGTTGAGAAGGTTTTGTCATATCATGAATGCTTCTCTCTGAGTAACAGAATGGGTTCAGACCCAGCTATGTGCTAGAATTTATGCCAAGCACAGTATGTGACTTTTCCTCCCTTCCAAAATCATATCTTATCCATACTGGACTTATCTGAAAAAAAAAATCCTAGTGCTCCTGGGACATCTACTTTAAAAGGCATCAAAATGTAAATCTAGGCACCCTGATGATATCACTGTGCAGCAATGAATGACGTGTTGAACATGGCCTCTCCTATAAAGGGTAGGGCCTGTGATGGCTGGTGAGGGTCAGAAAGCCCACCTAGACACAAAGCCAAGGGAAACATGCAGTACTCTTTCATCCAGAACTCATAGGAATTCTGGGGTCAGCTTGGGAGAAGCTGCCATCCACCCTACAAAGCACCAACCAGGAGAAGGTGGGAGGGAGGGACAGGTGGTCCAGAACAGCAGCAGCGTGACAGGCAGGCAGGCAGGCAGGCAGGCAGGCAGGGACTCAGGAGGGTAGGAAGAGAGAAAACTTGCACTTTGTCTTTGGTCTTTTGTTTAATTGAGCCAGTTCAACCTCATTATGCTGTAAGGTGAAATGTTCATTCCTAAAATCAGAATCTAGTAATTTCCCTCCAAGCCTGATTAATCTTCACTGCAGAGCTTCCTTTTGGGGTGTTCTCTCGTTATCTGCCTTTGCCTGACACTTGTGGAAGAAAGCACACGAGTAATTGTTTTTACTCCATCCTATAGCAGAACTGCTCTGGCTGTGTCTGAACCAAGGGCACCTGTAAGCCAAAAATTAAATCTTCGCTAACTTAAAATTACTCGAGTCCCTGGAACCCTTTTATATGCCAAGACGGTTCCCATAGCAGACAGCCTGTGTTGTTTGTTTTGTGTGAAAGTGAATGATAAAAGACCCATGAAATCGACACAGAAAGCCAGAACAGCAGAGAGAGGCGAGGGCTCTCCATCACTGCGGCTTCTACCCTCTGCTGACTTGCAGAACAATGGGAGCTACACATCCAACTGCAGATCCAACACAGCTGTGCATTTCATTAGATGAAGAGCACTAGTGACACAAGTAAATAATTAACTTATTCTGCTCCGCTGGCTGTGCTTATGAGACCAGTCATAGCTGACAGATTTTAATACACGTTAACACAAAGGGCCCATAATGAGCTTAGAAGTTAAAACAAAATATTTAGACAGAATTTGATGATCTTGAATCTCAAATCAGACGGATGATTTTTGAAGTTTGCATTTTACTTAATCCATCGGGGGAAAGAATGTTCTCACTCTTAGAAACACATTGCCCTTTCTCTTTCCTTCCTTATTTCTCTGGTTAAGAGGTATTCAGGTCTTCACCACACCAGGAAGGGGTCTTTTCTTTTTTTCCAGTGAGAATTTCAACTGTGTCATCAAGGAACACAGGTATAAGAAGTACTAAGAAGTTTTCAAAACTGTGGTCACTTCCCTTGAATACTGGCTTAAAATGCAAATGATGTGCAGTGTGCTCCAGTATGCTAACACCCCCTGGGTCCCTTGAAAGAAGAAGGACTACAAATACAGCATGGCTAATGGGAGCTGTTGGGAAATGATTACTGATTCATACCTTAAAAGCTTACACAGCATTTCAGATTTTAAAATAAAATCTCATCCCTGGCTCATGCTGATGTCTCAGCTCCACTGTTTATAGCACAGCCTTCTGGTAGCAAAATGTAAATACATTTTGCTCAGGAACTTTCATGCACTCACTGGGGGCAACGGGGAACTAGGGCACAGACTGTATCACAGGACCCTTAGCAAACACAAATCAAAGAAGAAAAATAAAAGCTGGGTAAGTTAAGAGCCCTGCCAAGAGAATATTACCCCATCAGCAGCGACACTAATTCCAGGGGTAAAGAAGGAGAACCCAGAGTCCAGGGAAGCTATAGCTGCGTGCTAGTCCACTAAGAGGACCCACACGCCACACTTGGCCAGGCAAGTTGCTATCTTTATTTCTATGACTTCAAGAGCAACCCAGAAATCATGTAAGAAAATAGTTTTATCCAGAGAAAGTCCAATTGGCATCATGAATCATTTGGTTTTCTTAAAATGTATTTCTGATAATTAATATTAATAGCAACTGACCTGCTAGGTTTAGTGGGTTGGATCTGTGTGATGACTACTTGAAATTAAATAGAGAATAGTTAATATATCAGAAAAAAAAATCAGTATGGTAGCTCATCCTACCATTGGGGCAGCAGGAGGATTCTGAGTTCAAGGCGAGCCTGGCTACTCAGCAAGACCCTGTCTCAAAAGCAAACAAACAACGCAAAAGAGAAAAGGAAAAAAAAAAAAAACCAAAACATTCTAGAGGCATAGCAAGACAAGAAGGCAGATGTTAACTGCAGAAGATTACTCCAATGATCTATTTGAGAGCTATTTCCAAGGTGACTTTATTAATAAATATATACTATGTGACAAGCACTATAAGGAGGTGAGGACACAACTCCAGACAGGCAGGTGCAGTTGACATAAGATTAATCGAGTGACTACTGGATACAATAACCACATTTGCAATGTTTGAATGTTTTAGGTGATGCAGAGCTCATCTGGAAAGAGGGCTACTGAAATCACACTGATTAGAGCCTAATTTGCTGATGTGTTGTTTGGTAGATACTTCACCATGTGGAGGCTATTTTTACTAGTTTCACACTGCTTAGAAGGAAGGAGGAAGTGATCCAATGCCTTTTCTCTAGTTGCACCAATAGGCTGGGCAGTGAAGGAGCAAGCATGACCAATGCCAGGTTCATGATGCTTGTGAACATGGGGCAATGACATCTGTATGTAGAATTTATCTCTCCTAAGACCTCAGCCCAGCAGAGGGAGGACAACAAGGAGTCTGGTGACCTTAATCTGATGCTCTTCTGTTTAATGGATACTACTGGACATTGAGATTTGATTGCGATGGAGGGAGCAGTGGTGAGCCTTGGTAGTTTGGTCTTTATATTGGGAATAATTAGCACCTCCTCCATTAGACAATTGTGTTAAGAACTGATGAACTAATGTCTGAGAGCAGCTTCATGGTCCTTAGAGAAAAGGCTCAATCTAAATACAAGGAATTAATATTATAGAAGAAACCTAATTGCTCTCAGCAGGAAGTATTACAGAGAAGATCAGCTCAGTGAACAGCCAGCCCAGAGTAGCTGTCCCGACTCTGGTAGAGGAGGTTGGAACCTGCACCCTTCAGTCTGCTGTTCTGCCCATTTCACATCATCAAGGCCCTGCCTTCTCATATCCTGAGAGCTACCCAGGGCAAGACAAGAGTGTCCAGTAGGAAACTGCTCACCAGTGATGAATATGGTACTGAATAGGGCCAAAGCATAGCCCAACACTCT